AGATGAGGCAATCTGCTTCCATAAAGATTTATAGACTTGGAAACCTAACAGGGGTCACTATGAGTCGGAATTGACTCTATGGCAGTGAGGTTTTTTTTTTTTTGGATGAGAATTTGGAAGGATATATATTTTTAAATTATATGAAAATTACCATTTAAAAATAATAGAAGAAATTTTCTTCTAAAAATTGTTTGATATGGCTAAAAAGAAGTAATAAATAATAATTAATAAAAACCCAACAAACTCACTGCCATCAAGTCGATTTGACTCATAGTAACCCCTCCTTGGTTTTCCAAGGCAGCATCACTATAGAGGGAGCTCTGGTGGCATAGTGCCTAAGGCATTTGACTGCTAACCAGAAGGCTGGTGGTTCAAACCCACCAGCCACTCCTTTGAAGCAAGGTTGGGTAATCTACTTCTGTTAATGATACTGCCTCGGAAACCCAAGGAAGGGGTCACTATGAGCGGGTCTGACTCGATGGCAGTGAGTTTAGTTTTTGTTTTGATTATCACCACAGAAGTAGATTGCCCAATCTTCCTTCTGAGGAGTGACTGGTAGGTTTGAACCACCAGCCTTCTGGTTAGCAGTCACATGCCTTAGGCACTATGCCACCAGCGCTAAGGTCATAAAAAAAAGTTGACTTTTTTTGGGGGGATAAAAAAAAAAAATAAAATGTTTAATATTAAATGAAGGATGAGGAAGGAAACTGAGTATAAATTCCTTAGAATAATTTAAGAATAAAGTGGTAGGAATAATTATAGTTTTTGGAAAGAAACTTAACAACTGATTCATATATCCAAAGTAGCAAAGCTTAGATTTATTAAAGCTCCTGAATACATACATGTATTAGAAAGAAATATGAACTACTATAGGAGACTTTCTAGATAATCAAAGTGAACTCAGAACTCTGAAGGCCTTAAGAGATAGAGTTTTAGACATCCCACCCCACACTCCAAAAATTAATTCCAAAGTAAAACCTTCACTATAAAGCCACTGTATGCAAATAAAATGAAGTAAAAAGGAAACTTTCAAGAAATGTATTAAAGTGACACACATGGTGATCAAGAACGTGTGAATGACTTTACAATATACATCTGTGCAAGACTGAAGTGACACACGCATGTGCAGGAGGGCTAGCACAAGGCATTCCTTTCTGTTTAGTAAAGACAGTACAAAGAGTTGTCTGTTTGAATGGAGATATAATTACCTCACAAAGTAAGATACGCCAACATTAACTAGAAACAAAGCAGTTGTCAGAAAGTTCTGTTCCTCTTTTGGAAAACAGAGATTATTAGCTCTTCTTCCTTGTTTAAAGCATATGTTTGACTTCTCAGTAAATCACAAAATAGTTCATTTCAATTTAAAAGTCTTTGAGAGGTGTCTATCCCAGTGAATTTGAGAGAAAAAATTAGTTTAGCTGGGAGGAAAGGAATTTTTTATTTTATATTATTTATTTTTTATATATAAAAGCAAATTAATGATAAAAAATTCTTAGGTTTATTAAAATCAGTAATTGCACAACTATTTTCTTAGTAACTCAAAATCAGTAACACTTAAAATCACACATAAAAAATAAGGATTTAGATAACTAAATGTAATATATTTAAAGCATGTTTCTGAAACTAATATGGATTTTGTTTATGATGTTTCTTTAGGGCGGCGGGGTATTATGCTAAGCAGTATTTGGTGATTAAATATTTTCTATAGTCTTTTAATAACCCATCCATATCTCATTTCTCCAGAAAGAATATGTTACTGTTAAGAGTTTATCTAATTTAAAATGTCCTGCCTGGTAAGAAAGTGTGGTATTAAGTTCAGGAAATATGGTGGGGGCACTTTTGGCACATGCTTTTGGTGATCTGATAACTTCCCCACTTTACTAAAAGAGCACATGTGAAAATTATTTGGCAGAAACAACCCATACTTTTAATGTTTGTATTTCAAAAGTATAAGTACTTTTAACAAATAAAATATATATAACTTGGAAAAAGCTTGAAAAGTGTGATAGAAATAAAAAGGCATAATACTGAATACGGATTATAGCAGAGTACACTACTAATTTGAGGATACTTACACTAGTTGAAAAAATAAATCATATAAAACTCTTTTGTAGAAAAGTGATACAGGCTAGGCATTCATGGACTGCCTACAAGCAATTCTGTGACTTTTGAAAAATATAGATTAGGATTTGGTCCATGTGAACTACAACCAAAAACAGTTTTTCTTTAGAGGTCCAGCTGAATTATTTAAAAACTATCTTGTTTCAGTTATTAAGAATCTAAATAAACATCTCCATTTGGCACAAAACATATTTCTAAGACAATATTTCTAGAGAACTGGAACTACCCACCTACACCTACCCTCCCCACCCCCACCCCACAGACTGATAAAAGAAAAGAGCTGGCTATCCATCCTATCATCACCAAAAGTAAAGGTTATATAATGTTTTTTTTTACTTTGGAGTACTGAAACAGTGTTATGGGTTTTCAAACTATAATCTCTCCTTAAAAGACAATCTGAACAGTTTTGGAAACAAAGAATATCAACATGCTTAAGAGACTTTCTATTGTAGGTAACCTTTCACCTGGGCTAAAGTTCACTTGGAAGGGAAAAATAAACCCAATACCCTTAACATTCATTTAGGTTAACTTTCAATCAGACTATCTAGTTTAGCTAGGCAATCACATGCATTATTATAGAACATCTGCCTTCAGACTGGGTAATTAATTAATTAGTTACACAATCCACATGTAGTTCAGATTTTATATCAAAACATTTTGTAGATAACTATAAAAAGAAAATTGTTATGATCAACGTAAAATCTTTTCTTGGGATTCACCTTTCACATCAACACAACAACAAGGAAAACTTCTGTTATGACATCAGCTTTTTGTAGAAAGGTTTTCTTCTAATGATGTCTTTTAAGAAGGCCTATTTTACGAGGATGTCTATAATCAATTAAATCAGGACATTTAAAAGAGACAGTACATGTCTAGGTTTATTTATTTTGGATTACCAAGTAAGTGATTACCTCTCCTATCGGGCAAAAACTTTAAAATTAGAAGAACGAAAATAAAAAGCTATTTTTGAAAGATAAAAGTGAGCCATGATAGTTTTTCCCTTTCTACTTAGTATATAGAGTAATAGAAATATTCAAGTCATTTCTTAAAGGCTGTGTTACCAGTTTTAAAAACCTAACATTTCTGGTGTTTTTAATCTTTCGAATAAAGGTGTGCTGAAAACACAGCCCGGGTCTACCCTTAACAAAAAAGACAGGGTCTTAATGGGCCAAAATAAGATTATCTGGTTCAGTATTTACAATGATGACTAAATATTTGACTTGCTAATATAAGCAAGTCAAGGAAACTGAAACACATATCTAAGCAAAAACAAATAAAACCAAACCAAAGGCAAATGACACAAAATAAAATTATCTCCTAAATATAGCAGTTATTTTAACAACCAAAAGTTGTACATATATGATAAACAGCTTTACTGAGGTATACCAAACATATGCATATCAACTGCACATATTGAAAATGTAAGATTAGGTAAGTTTTGAGTGGGTATATACCTATGAAAACACCACCACAATCAAGATAGGAGGTATATAGATGACTGAACACAGAAACACTATTTCTAACATAAGTGATAATATAGTACATATACATATATATATATATA